GCAGGAATGATGGCCAGGCATGAAACTCCTCTGAGGAAAGGAGTAAAATACCAAATAAACCCAACAGCAGTGCATGTGGAGCGAGGCTCACCTAGTCGCGCCAAAAAGCATATTTAGGAAAACAAGCGGATTCCAGTATTGATATGATGTCTTGAGTAGGAATGGCTAATTCCTTCAAATACATTAAAGTAGTGATCTATCTATGAAAAATGAGATTAAAGCAGAAAAGGCGCTCTGTCTGATTGCGTTTTAAAAGACAGGCCTACATCATCCTTGCTTTAATCAGATTCCCGGAGGTGCAGTCATTTCCTGGCTCACCGAAGTTAAAAAAAGAACAAAACAAAACCCAACAACTAGTAACATCTGTCAGCTATCTGATAAATGCACACTATTAACAGGGTGTCTTGAAAATATCTACAGGGATGCAGGCTATGAGCTGAAAAGCGGGGCTCCGAATGGATCAAAACATCTCCAGAACTAGCCACCAGCAAATGCTCCCAGTGAAAAGCAGCATTTGGTGAAACTTCAGCTGTCCTCCTTGGACACATCTCTCTGTATGAGATGTTGAGAGCTAATACTTCTTACCAATCTCAGGAAAGGAACAGCCCAGTCCCAAATGTGGCGGACAAGCAACGCACTTCACAGAGAACTGACCATTTAATGAAACCCAAGGATGGCCACCAGCCACAGGGCGGTGGGGGCAGAGGTCTGGGGACTCTGTGGCTGTCAGATGCAGCTGAGATGAGCTGCTCATCAACTGCTCAATTCAATGGCAATTTTTCAGTAGTAATTTTGCTACAGCAGAGGAGCAGGTAGGCCTCAGAAAATTACATTAAAGCCCATCTTTGCATCCAAAGCAAAGTTTACCCACTAAGAACTTGCTGTCTTATTGTCTCTTGTCCCACACATCTTTATCAAAAACACCCCTGAATGAACAACCAATCACTTTTTCAAGTAATTACGATAGAAGCACTCTAGATAGAATTTTTTCTGCTAAAGATCAATATTAAATCACTGTAAAAATATTTAACTAATCAAACAAAAACAATGAGTTCTGTAGAAGATTGCCCATTTCGAGATATCTTCAGAAAGTTAAGAAAAAATGATAACTACTTTAAAAACGGTATGAACTTTTTCATCGTACAGTTGTTTCTCAACAAAAACTATTATGCAATAATACAATGCCTGAATTGGAAGGGACAGAGACAAATGCTCATATCATAACCAACTTGCTAGCTTACAGACACCAAGTAAAACAAACTTATGTTTAATTGTGGTTATTTTTCTATTCACTTTCATCACTAAGGAGTGCCACAAAACTAACGGGCATGTATACATAAAGTGACAGGAAAAAATGGTGGAAAGACTCTCTTGGCATGGCATTTAACAGCCAAAAAATATTTTTGATGTCTTTGGTAAATAAATGTCAAGGCTTAATTACACAGTTTGCTAACCTTGTTTCCCTAGGCACAGATGGTAGGGTCAGAAACGAGTCAAAGCAGACTGAAACCGTATTCCATGTCTATTCTGAGGGCTATCATAAGCCATCCTACTAGATGGGAGCATACACATAATTAAAAATTCATTTTATGGGGTCAGTGATGAAACAAAACTCAGATCTCTCATTTCCCAAGGGAGCGATCTGACATCTAGATAAAGAAGCTGTTCTAATTCTGGAGAGAGTCCCATTAAACCTGTAATTCTATTCACATCAACACAGCTTGATGCAAGAACCTCTGCTGGGGCTGTTTGGTCACACAGGCTCATCCATTCCTCCTTTTGAGAGTCTTCCGACTTGTAACTGAGTTGGAGGTCTGCTTTGCACACTCGTACTGTGATCACAGAATGGTTTGGATTGGAAGGGACATTATAGATCATCCAGCTCCAACCCTCCTGCCATGGGCAGGGACCCCTTCCACTGACCAGGTTGCTCAAAGCCCCATCCAGCCTGGCCTTGAGCACCTCCAGGGAGGGGGCATCCACAGCTTCTTTGGGCAACCTGTGCCAGTGCCTCACCACCCCTATAATAACGAATTTCTTCCTTATATCTAATCTAAATCTACTCTCTTTCAGTTTGAAGTCATTACCCCTTGTCCCATCACGCCATGCCCTGTAAAAAGTCCCTCTCCAGGTTTCTTGCAGGCTGCTTCAAGATACTGGAAGGCCACAATAAGGTCTCCCCAGAGCCTTCTCTTCTCCAGGCTGAACAGCCCCAACTCTCTCAGCCTTTCCTCCTATGAAAATTCCTCATCATAGCACTATACGAATGGGCTCAAGATCAGTTAATTGCAGACTTGTTAATGTTCACTGGGTAAAAGTACTTTGTGAGGTGCTGGGGCTCCTGCCCTGACCCAGGGGTGTTCCTGCCTCCCCTGAGTTCACCCCACCCCAGGGTGCTGCTGCCAGAGCCCACCAGAGGATGATGAACAGCAAGGCAGGGCTACAGCATCCTACAGTCTCCCCCAGCCAGTAAGGGGCCAGGGTCTTCTCCTCCGTACGAGATGCAAAAGCGGAGCACACAGAGCTCTGTGGAAGAAAGCCTACAGCCACGCCAGAACCGGAGAGCAGAACTTACTCTACATAGTAGACACCATATACGGGATCCTCAATTTTCTCCCAACCAGCAGGCAACTCTGGAAATAGAAAAAGCATTACTGAAGCCTCCAATGCAGTTTTTTTCTGAGCTCCTGCTCAGCGTGCAAAACTCACCAGTAGCTCAGAATTTGCTTCGAACACTTTTCAGAACGATCACAGCCTCCTTTTAAAGGCTGACATAGCACGGCTCCAGCATCGTAGCCTGTCCTACCAGTGCTGGGTTGGCAAATCAGTGGGAAGATGCCCATGCCAGTCAATTTTAGATTTGCTTTTTACATTAAATGAACAAATGATCAATAAATTTCCTTTCTGGGAGTGCCTCAAGTACCCTCTTGGTTTCACCCTCATGGGCAGAGTGGCCGTGGACAGAGGCACTGCAGTGGAAGTCGATGCAGGTGACAGGCCAGGGGCATATGAAGATGGGTGAGGTTATGGCAAGCAATTGCAGCACACTAACAGAGAGACCACTTTCATCTCCTGTACCAGGGCTGAGCCATTTATGCTCTCCGCTGCCGAAAAAAGGTTTTTTTGACTCCTTTCTCAGGGATTTACACTGTGTTGCTCAGCCGCAAGCCCAACACAAAAGCGTATCTTGAAACAGGACAAAGTGAATTTAGTGTAAACGCCTGGCATATGGAATCCACCCAAGTGGGGCTGGCACACACAGATGTATTTCACTGCATAGCACTTAATGTAAAAACACATATTGTCATAATCACATTCCTTTTTTAATTAGCATAATTAACAAAAAACAGTTCGGAAGATGAAATTAACATTTGGAAATATATCCACTTTTGTTCCTGTTGATTTTCTAGACTGCACATCATATCTTAACTATAATTAGTGAATGTAATCACTTCAGCATCCAACTGAGAGTTATTAAAGCTGTGTGTATTACTTAAGGGCCTGATCCTTGTCCCACTCATTTAAACACAGTGTTCCCATTGGCTGGGGGTACCAAAATAATCATCCTATTAACAATACAGCATGGTGTGTTTGTGTAATACTGCAAATCAACTTGAAAGAAGGCTCCACCACACTATGGACTGTGCAAGTGTGGTCCCACAGGCTCTGCACACGCATTTATATAAAAAAAGTATGATTTTTAGAAAAGTGTCATTGTCAGACAGCACAAGTTCAAATACCCCATGCAAAACAATTCCTCAAAATTTGTCACTAAATTGACAAGGTTGATAGTAAATAATCTATGTTTGGTTATTATCAAATGCAAAGATTTATTTTCATTAGCAACATCAATTGGTGAGCCAATATAATCAGCAATCACTCATTAATTAGAATAAATGTAACTATCTAGTTCTGCATTTATAGACTTCAACCATGTTGCCATAAGGATAGAAATATCTCCAGACTGGAGATGAACAGGATCTACACAAACACCCATGGACTAACTACTCAAAGTTTTTGTTATTTGTGCTCAGAATTGGCTGGAGATCAGAGGAAATATTTTCATGGGGTTTGCTCCACATGTCCCTTACTTGCAGATGTAAGGTAGATTTTCCATTCTTATCTTTATTTTATCCTTATTGCGTTTAACATCTTTGGATTCCTTGAGACATAAGCAATTAAATGCAAGCCAGTGCTAACTTCTGGGCATGAAAATACTCCACAATCTTATCTGCAGATCAATCTGAAATGAACGCTTCAGGAACAGATATTTCTTTACAGAGTGGAAGTGAGCACTAGAAAAAGTTAGAAAGCTAAAGGCCAATCTTCAAAGTCTTTTCGCAAAGGGAACTCTCAGGTTTGCAAAGGAGTCCCACATGGTGAAAACACTGTGGGACTGCCTTAAAGAGTTTCAGTGCAATTAGCTTCAGACCTAGCCTACAACCAGGAAAATCACAAGCTGCAGCAGGCATTTCGTTCTTTGCACTACAATGTAATTTGAATGGTAAAGAGACCAAGCTGGGGTGGAAGAACAAAAAAAATGAATGGGAGAAGTAATACACAAATGCCTTAAAATTAGTTTTCCACAATTTTTCTTGCAAAATATCTTTTAACTATTTTGGACTACTAAATGGTTTTGATTTTTAAAGCTCAAACGAAAATGTTTTGCTTTTTCTTTGTTCACAAAAAGTTTTGGTATTACTTTTTCTCTTTTCTTTTAAAGAATTTTCATGGAAGGTCAGAAAACCAGCATTTTCCTAACCCCAAAAATGGTGTCATGCCAAAATCTTTCCAGTTTTCTCTCCCTGCAGCTTTCCATTTGAGGAACACATTTCTATGTTTTCGGAAGTAACAATACACAAAACTGCAGCTTTCAACACATTACTTGCTGATTACATAGATGCTCTTTCTGACTTCTAAAGCCTCTGAAAAATTCTCTAAAGCAAAAGGCAATATTCTCCATAACCATGTTGCACAGTCTGGCTTCTTAGTGGCTTTAAATTATTCATCTCCCTTCATTACCTCTCCTGCCAAAGTGAAGATGACCCAGAGCATTAGATTTTATCACTAATATTAAGATTTCCAAAGACATTGTGCATCACTAGGAGTCTGAGCCATAATGGTTTTATTTTGGTACATCCATGCAGCACTGCAGTCTCAGAGCATTTGTCAGCAGGTAGAGTCAATGGACAAATACCCAATTTTACACTTTTAAGCCTGGGGTAAATACATGGACTCTTACTGAGATGCTCTTGATCAGTATCCAACTTTACAGAAGGGATGGATGAATTCCTAAAAAAGAACTTCTCCAGTCACCAGGGATTTTAACTGCACTGTAAACGAGCTGGATATAACTTCAGGATACTCAGCTCTTAGAGCTTCCTGCAAGCCCAGCAGGATCTGCCCAAGCATACGTCCAATTCTACTCCAAAAGTTAAATTTTTGTGTCCTTTTGTATAACCTTCTGTTAAAAGAGAGGTGATTTATTACTCCATGTTCAATCCACCTCTTTGGCAAACCAGAAGTTGTGCAAATGTTTCAAGTTTTAATTTTCTTATATTTAGAAAAGAAACTGTTAATAAACTAAGGAGCTAAATATCAGGCAACAACCAGTTTATACTTCTCATGAGTACAGTTAGTGAACAGGCCACATGCTTTCATGCCTCCTTCCTCATGTTGCTGTAACCAGCTGAGCCATTTGAAAATGTCTTTATTTACACTGAAACACTGGCAAATCTCAACAGTGTATCGATGGGCTATGAGCTCAATAAAGCTTATCTGCATTAAAACACAGGGAACATCTCATGATGTTCCAGCAAAACAATTGTGTACCTAAGTGCCTGCAGAACTGGGGTCAGGCTTATCAATTAATGAGTTGCCCTGCATCTATTTTTTCAGCTCTTCTTCTCTTGCACTACATCCTGGTATCAGACTGAAAGAAGTAAAGATTTCCATTTCATTATTGCCTCTGAATTCGCTCTGAATTTTTTAATCTCTCTCTTCTTTTAAGTAAACCTTTGTGAAGACCCTAATGAGAAATCTTTGCAGGTTGTTGGTATGCATCCACCTACTTCTGATGTTTCTTGGTCTGCTGCTGATTATTTGTATGAGCTGTGCATAATACTAATATACCACTATGAAAAAGTGACTGCATTCTTCTTCAAATTGCGATTTCTTTCATATTCTTGCACTAGAAGAAGAAGTTAAGCCTCCAATACTATTCCAGGCATATTATCCAGAAGAACAGTTCCTGGAGTAGTGTTAAAAGTCCACTCACTAGCTGTTGGCTGCTGATGCCGTATCAATCACACAGAAGCGGCAAGCTGAATACACTTACTTGCAAGTCATTACAGAAACCAGAAGTTAATTCTCTGGTAATACAATCCTCCAGTACGCAGAACCATAAGCTGTAAATACAGTCCTCTTTAAAAGCAATAATAGACCTAGTGGAAATAAAATCCTGTGCAATCTCTTATGCCTTTCAGCTTTCCGAGTGCACTAGAGCATAGCTGAACAGAAATAACAACTACCTCCACCATCAGTACCAACAGAATGAGCACCGCTGAGATTAGGTATCAAGACAGCATTCTTCGCAAAAAGATGCAGCAAATAAAAGCGTACCACATCACTGAAAATCATCTGTTTATAAAATCACCTACCAAGGCAAAATTTTCAGCTGTTTTATTCACCAGCTCAGCAGAAGCATCCTATGTAATACTTAAACTTTCTAAATCACGCTCTGCTTCTCTTGTCTGGGAAACATATTTGGCCCCAGTGAAAAAGCATCATTAGCTACTTGATTTCAAACCTGGCATCTATAAACTTTTTCCTGGAGCCAGTGATGCTAACAGAAAATCCCCTGACTTCTGCATGGTCCAGAAGGAAGCAACTTCGAACAAACTTTGCAAGATTAAGGCCCTTCAGCTTTCTTCAAGCACTGAATCGGTAAGAAAAATACTGTAGATCTGAAGCCAAGAGAAGATTAATGCTTTGTGCGCTAGGGAAGTTTTGGTGATAAATCAGGCTTGTTAAAATAAAAAAAACCAGAAAGATGCAAAATGATACAAAGGAGAAAGTAAGTAATTAAAGGCTTAAAACAGTGCAGTTGAAGTCAAACATCAAAAAGAGAGATGGATGATTTACCTAGTTCACTGTCCAGTTCCTCCGTGTGTACCCCTTCTTCTCCAAGGGAAGAGCAGTAAATGAGACAGAAAAAATTAAAAGAAAATTTCAGATACCAGCACCAAGCAAGAAATTGCCTACAGCAAACAGCAGAACCGGCACTAATTTTCTACAGACCAAGCCCAAGCTTTCCATTTATCACACTTTAGTGATCAGAATATTGATGGATCTGATGTAGATAATGAAAGAACTGGTTCTTGAAATATCTGTATCAATCGACTACTTCCATGCCACAGCTCGATATGGCAAAGTAGTACATTTGTGCTGTTCTTACTGTAGTGAAGCTTCTCCCTCAGATCTGTACAGTCCGACCTTTGGAATCTGTTCTGTAGACACACGGATCTATCAGGCGGCCAGACCTGAATACTAATGAAGAAATCTGAGAGGAAAACCTTGCATCTAAATAAGAACTAATGTAGCCAGGTTTTCAAGACAGTACCTAAATTTATGTGCAAACAAGGTCCAATTGACTTCACTGTAACCACTTCGATGATTTAAGATAGCCATGAAGCGAAGCTCTTTGTTTAACCAGAGTCGCAGGCCCACACCAAAGTCCAGATGCACTGGTGAGGCATATACAGGAATGCACCAGTTTTAGCCGGGCACCTGGGACAAAGATCACATAATTCTTCAAACACACAAAGCCATCAATATTTACTGTTGCTCCATTTATCTTTATCTGCTCCATATTCATAAGTTAACAGTGACACAGATGATTAAAGTATTGCTTAGCCTATAAATAATAATAATAATGCAGTCTGAAAATGAAAGATGATGACCAAAATCAGACCAAAGATGGTAAAAACAATCTCGGACCTAGTACAGTGAAGTATAAGCCACATAAATGAATGACAGAAGCAAACAGAAGACGTAGTGTCACAGCATTGATTCTGAAAATTTTGACACCTAAAAACACAGTTCCACGACCTGCTTGCAATATATTCTACCAAAACAGTTGTTTAGGACCGTTAGCGTGAAATACAAATTGCAATTTCCTTCGATAGCCTAAACAACTGGAAACGACAAAAAACCTGTTAGGGACATGTATCCTAACGAAGGAAGAACACAAGGCAACTGCACCCAAACAAATCTGAAGCGACATCTAACATTGATAAAAACCACAAACAGGATGGGATCGAGCCTGAGAACTCAAGCGCACGCACACGCAACAAACAAAACAGAGGGGCTGTCCCACTGACTTCAGCGGAAAAGCTCCCAACAGCGACCCTCACCAAAAATGTCCAGCTCCTGTGATGCAGTAAGAAAAACCTTCTCTCTGCTTTGTGCTCAGATTGTTTTCTAAAGTAAAATTGTTCTTACACACGAAGGAAGATCGGAGCAGCCAAGCAAAACAGTGCAGTGCACTGCTGTACCTATGAAGCAATCGGTTTGGCTACTGAATGTTAAAAATATTCATTAATGAGCAATTTAGTGAATGGAGTGAAAGGGTGTGGGGGAAGATGAAATTAGCTGATTTTAAGGACCTGATAAACAAAAATGCCACTACTCTGTAAAATTACGAACTTAACTGAATACGAAAAAATACCCAGCTGTATGTTTCTAGTCCCAATTAAGTAAATTATCCCAATGCGTGTTTTGTCACTGTTACGACGACAAGAGTTTTGAAAGACATTCCCTTCTGCGAGGAGACTTCAAACTGTCTAACCGAGGAGCTCGGCCAGCCGCTGTTGCCTCATCCTTCCAGCTGCTCCTTGCCCCGGCTCAGAGCAGGCAGGAGGCACGCTGACCCACAGCGGCACTTGCTGCTTGCTGGCGTCACTGGGGCTATCAATGTACTGGGAGTCTTGCTGGCAGAGAAAGCCAGGGCAGAAGTTGTGCTTCAGGGAAAACTACCTTCTGAAAGAGGAAAGCTTGTGCTGAGACTTAGCAACCTCCTCTCTAAATTGCCAGCAATGCTTATCTGCAAGGAGGAGGGAGCTTTCCTGCATATGCTATTATTTAATTTTGTGCTAGTTCTGATTACCGACAGACATATCCATTTTTAGGTGCAGAGCAAGGCCTTCATTAATCCAGCTCCCTGCGCTCGCTCCTTGACAAACGACGCCAGTTGCTAAGGATCTGAGGCAGGCGGCAGCTCGCTATGCTTGGTTTCTGCCTGGGCTTTGCAGATCCTTGGGCGCACGCTACATTGCGCACTAAGAAGTTGGCGACCCGCTTCACCATGGCAGCGAAGGATGCACAGGCAAATTCTCACATCCTGAAAAATCTCACACGGGAAAGGAAGCAGTGGTTGAAAAACTGCATGTGCAAAACCAGTAACTGCAGTTCCAGAGGCCAGATTTCAACCTACCAGTAAAAAAGAGATCAAGTGAGTTGATCCTTTTCCGAAGTAAAATCATAACTCTTATTGAGCTGACTCACATCAGGAGGAGGTTAATTGTATTATGAAAGCTAATTTTACAAAGACAGCACCAAAACTGACGAAGGAAAACCTTCAGTTTTTAAGCTATGTCTACCATGATAACATTGTGCTAACCAAAATTACTAATTAGGCTACCATCACCTTTCCTGGTCAGTTCACCAAAATTTCCAAACAGGTTTTCCCAAACATTTGTTTTCATTGTGATTCCCTTTTTCTTCCAGCATCTCCTAAAGGATGCAGGGAAAGTACCTCCTTTAACAGTCCTGCATTTGGCTGCTCTACATTGGACAGTGGCTTGCATTTCCAACATCTCAAGGAATACAAAATTACATCAGTGTAAATTTTCAGTGGCAGATATCTACACTTTCAAACTGAAATTGTTTTCAGCAATCAGAACACTAAGTGGACTGTCAGTGTTTAACAGTAGAAGTGAAGCAATTGAGTTATTCCTGCTCAAACAAGGAAATAACAATGCAACTCTTTCAAACTCATGTAAAGCAGGTGGTTGAAGCGTAACACAACGGAGCACACAGACTCAGCCGCCTCCTCCTACACAATGATCCAAGGAGTGAACATGTTGGAAAGCTCCGAGTCTTGTTCAGCGTCAGCAACTATTCAGATGCCTTCGCAAAAACAGAGGCCTCTTACTTCTAGCACCTCTTTAATTCTTATTAAATGACTGCCACCTCACATACACAGACAGTGATTTTACAACATAACAGATACTGTCTCTATGCACTTACTAATAAACCTGTTGGTTTTTTTTAAAGTATTTCTGAACACAGGTTATCGGACAGGGGAAAAGGAAAGGCACAAAGTTAACTAGAAGTGGACCAAATGCATTATTATCTTACTATTTTCAGTCTCTTACCATCATCTTCACATTCTTCTAGAGGTTTCTGCTGTTTGTTCAGGCACCGTGGATCAAGCCAAGATGTTGTTTTTGTGTTATGGCTGGAAACCAAAAATGGAAATATGACCTTTGTTAAAAACAGCAGAGATGAAGTATCAGTGACATAAAAGTATACATCCTCTTTGTTATTAAATAGACCTGAAGGCATACTTTTTCTTGAGAAGAAACAGCATTACAATTAGATGTTCTGCAAACTAGTCTACCAAATCACAAAAATCTAGGCATTGAAAACACATAGGTGAAAAGTGAAAATACATAGATCAGCATTCCTGACTGGATGGATGCATGTGAAAGCTGCAATATTATAATATTCATTTCCATATTATGTTTGGTCATTTGTTTCTTAATTCCAGGAGCTATCTCTGAGCCGTTTGCCTTCAGACAAAAAGACAGAAGTTTCCCTTCCTCCCTCAACTATGCAGCGATCTCTGTTCCTGCGAAAGACCTTTCTCATTTGTCTAGATTTGACCCAAGCATTAGTCAAAAACAAAATTTCCAGTGAAAACTTTTTAATTACACAAATAAAAATGTTCTGTCAAAGCCTTTGATGGAAGTTGAACAGCTTTACTTTCAACTCTTCCTTTCTACAAGTCCCCTGACAGTATCGCAATGCCAGTCCCAGCGGGGAAGGCTGCGTAGTAAACAGGCATGAAATAAATTTTTCTAGAAATTATTTTCACCCATCATTTCATTTGTTTATGGAGACAAACCTGTAATATAACGCCTCTTCTACAACCTGATGTCATCTTATACATAACCTGCAAAGGCAGCCCTCCAGTCCCTGAGGTATCATTTATCTAGCTGAGTTTTTAACACTACTTAACAGTCTGAAGTTTCAATACCATAGTAATTCTATTTACTTCTCCTCCAAGGTCTCAGAGAGGTTTACAAACTTAACCTTAGCCTCACAACAGCCTCACGAAGCTGGAAATGCTGTAATGAGGGCTATGATCCCCAAGGAACCAACAACCGACCAGCAAACTTGTCTTTTACTGCACAGAGGGGACCGCCCTGCTCCTAGGATCGGAGTATGTACATAAAAGGTCCTTGTTTTACACATCCTACTACTCAGTCCTCCCAAGGCAGGATGAGCAAATGCATTTAATCCTTTGGCATGCTTCAGAGCAATTACTCGCCAACTAGAAAACTGAATAGCAGAAATTCAGCAAGTCAGGCAAATTAACAGCAATAAAGCAGAGGGGTTCTGCCAACTTATAAATACGAAAGCCTGTAGTCTAGCTGAGAAAGAGGGCAGTGGGAGAAGAGCAATGAAATATTTGCATATTTCTTGCAACTTTGTCTCGCTCACCAAAGGCTCACAACAGTGCGGTTTGCTGAGGCACAGAAAATTTAGCTAACCACCTCTCAGATCATACACTCGGTGGGACAGGATTGTGTGCGACCTGTAACACGCACAGATCTACACGCAGGGTAATGAGGGACTGGGATACTTGGGTAATGAAAATCCCAATTAAAGCACCAGAGAAACAGATCTCAAGAGCCAAATTGCTTCAGCTACAAGCCATCAGGATCGGTTATCCGACACGCAGCTCGGGCCCCACTGGTCCTGTGCTGGTTCTATGCAATCAGCTCAGATGTTCCCATACTGTTCCCTTCAGCACCCTGCCTTGATAACCCAAAGCGCTGTAGATGACAGTATAGTCATCTGAGCCAGCTTGGGTCCCCACAGCTCATTAGCTTGCTCTCTTAATTTGATACAAATCAAGCTAAATCGTTTCTAGGCTCAGGGTGTCCTTAGAATTAATAGAACTGCAGTCATTCAGTGCTGCACCCACACTAACACGTTCTTGCACAAAAATCACCCTCTGTGTGTGTGCAAACTCAAAGCGGTCAACCTGCACTGCAAGGGAAGGCAGCAGTTGGTGTGCTACCAGATTTTCATGTCAGACAGACTGCCGTGTACGCAGGCTATATTTTTCCACCACACATATGATTCTCCTGCAAAAGGTCTAATGAATTATTTAAGGTGCTACAGCCCTGCATTGCTAAGAGAACACATGCTCATAAAGAACATAGCAGTGATGGGGATGGGTTTTGGGGAAATTTGTGGTGGCAGCAGAACCCCTTGCTGAAGCACCTGTAAAGGACAGCAGACGCCCATGTGGGAACAAAAAAAGAGAGCAACTGGCTCCTTGGGCAGCATTTAGTGCTCATCATCTGTCCTCCTCCACAGAGTAAAATAGCAGGCTGGATGGGCTATTACTCAGGCTGTGTTATATACATTAAGGCCAGAAAGTACGTCAAAGAATGAGGCACCCTGAGGACATAATGAGGGGCAGAATACTGTGTTCGGGATAATGAACACGTTTCAGTTTCATACGATATGCAGCTGATGAGAATTTGCATTGCTCCTTCTAGACTTCAGCTTACACTGGGGGGTTGGTGGAGCCTCTTCAAGTAATTGAGAGCACCCTGGAACCTGGCCTTTTTTACAGCAGCCCTCTCCCAGCTGGTGAAGGGCTGCTGCGGTGCTCTCAGTCCTCACAGCTCTTCTGGCACTCTCCTCTGATGTGATCCCCTGCCACTGCAGCCAAGGGAAAACCTGCTCTGACGAGCCTTTCCTTGGCCCTGTCCAAAGTCCCCTCTCCCGATGACGGAGCAGGACTGCTTCCTGCACTGCCCTACTCCAGCGTGATTCTCCGGAGTACCAGGAGCGGAGGACGTTCTTCTGTACTAACTGGTCACTGGCTTCTGGTGCACAGACAGAGGATCTCAGTTTCCAAGACCGCATTAAACAGACCATCAAATTCCAAATCAATTCCTCTCCCCCTTCCTCTACTTGGGCAGCTTGAGTTTCAAAAGCTAATTGAATTTTAATGTCTAGCTAAACTCCGTGCAAGAAACCTCTTCCACTAACAGGTCCCATTTTGTAAGTTACCCCTATTTCAATAAATCTAGACAAGTATAATTAGAGACTATTATTTATGGCATGAAAAAGTCAATATCATAAAACTGCTGACAGCACTCAGCTCGTAGGAAAAGCCTGCAGAGCACGAGGTACTTCTTGCTTTTCCAAACTCACTGTGCCTACTCTGCACTGAGCTGTGCCTTCTGCAAACCACTGGAGCACGTTGACACATTTGGCCCATTTGCTCTGACAAGAGGATGACACACAAAGTCCACTCCCGGGCTCTGCTGCCGCCTGAGCACGACCAGAGGAATCCTCTCTGCTGCGTTATGCACAGAGGCAGGCTCCAGAAATGAAGCCACAGCCCTTTCAGCTAGGAGCTTTCATCCCACCCGTGAAAACAACTGGCCCATATTTTATCAGTGTCTGTTGCTTTTGTAACTACCCTCATAAAACGAGCTGTTCCCCCTGCCTTTGAACTCCGGAGTGATTTGGATGTTAATCCAACCAGGAAATGCAAAACCCCTCCAGAAGCAGTAAAGAATTTACAGCTCTACAACATAACTGTATGCATTAAATATGTAATACACGCACATATACACACAAAATGCATCCGTGGAGGTTTACTTATGCCCAGAGAGAGAGGGAGAGAGATGGAATTAGAACAACAAAAATGTGCTTTACTCTATAAAATAGACTTCTCCGTTCTCGGTGTAGGCCATCTCCCAGTTTTCCGGCAGAGGACCTAGGTTATCCTCGGCAGGAGGAGGTAGGTATTGAGGGAGGTTCTGAGATGGTTCCGTGGTGGGAACGTTGGTGTGGCTATCAATCACAGACGGTGGAGCTGTCTCTCTTACGATATGCGTATTATGCTCGTCTTGGTCACCAGACTCTGCTGTAGAATAAACAAGCAGGAATAACATTGAAAATCAGTCTTTTTCTCCTCCCATTTGATTCTCGGGGCTTATCCTTACAGTTTTCCTCTCCTTGCTTTTTATTTCGCAAGACACAGCAACAGATGAACCGAGGGCAGAGACTCTGCAGTCTTTTTCCCAGCAGGGAGGAGCTTGCTTTGCTCACACACCCTCTGCCAGCCAGACCCTCGCCAGCACAAATCGGAAGCTGTGATCAGCCACCCTGTTCGCTCTAATCAGCCCTGCTGAGGTACCAAAGTCTTCCAAGCCATCTGAGGCCAGGGCTCACTGATGTAGAGGAGTTCAATGGGCTTCTGAGCAGGCTTACAGGTTCACTCCCGCAGTGCCAACTGTGGGACAGGGATTAGGAGTGTAAAATTTCCTGTTTGAAGAATGATCAAAAGGGGAGATTTTTAGAAGTGCAGAAGGTAGCCAGAAGCTCAAAGTCAACAAGCTAATGGTGAATGCTTTTAGTACAGTGCGTTTTTTTAAATTAAAAATTAAAACGAATGTCAGCACTACACCATGTGTCCACATGTTGCTGCCCACTAGAGCCTGTTCTAGCTGTCTGAGGAGGTTTATTCCACAGCTCATCACTCTATCCTTCCAGTCAAAGTCGCTCAGGAGGATTTTATGATGTATCTGGCCCTTCTCCCTTCAAGGAAACATTTCTGATGCTTACACCCATGCAGTTTTGAGCTGTATCCATGAAACACGGCTGCTCATTCCCTCCACCCCTAATCACAGTAAATGCTCTCCACAAACCAGGTCTGTGCCCCTAAATTCTTCACAGAGAGGTTTTGGCAACAGACAAATTCTAAAATTACCCTTGTGTCTACAAAAGGATTTTCTCTGGTTCTTTAAGGTGTTGAAAATTGGTGCAGTACTTCCAAACCACCTGAGACCACCAGTCTCCAGTACACGCAGCAGGCAACACACTGAGCAAATGACAGAGAGATCAGCGCGACACTCTGCCAAGTCCCCGAGCAGCAGGACTGAAAGGGCCAAGACCCCGGTTGCGCGCTCCAGACCGCAGACCACGGACCTCCTCAACTCACAGCCCACAGACATGCTTTCCAGGGGGGCCGCTAACTGCAGCTCCTCTGTTATTTCTAGTCTGTGTGCTGCCTTTATGAAAAGGCAAGATACTGAAAATAATAAACTGGGAGAAGAGGGAAGAAAAAGACCTAGACTACACCAGCAGGCTCAGCTGCCTGCTTTCTAGCCTTCCTGGCGCTCGATATTTTTAGGTAGAAGCTGACAAGATAAAGAAGCATGAATGAATCATCCCCAGCTTAAGACTGCAAGTGTAAACATGCCAAAGTCTGGAAAACACAAGTCATCGAGAAAGTCTTCTAAGGAAGCAGCAGCATTTTAATATGGCTAGCACACTTACATGTGAAAGAAGCGTAAGAAACCAGTTTGCTATATGAGAAATAACTCTTTTCTTGATTCTGTGCCCATTTAATGGAGGCAAGGGGCCAGGGTGCGATAACGTTGTGACAAATGAGCTGCACCTTCCAGTGTTTTATCTTGTGAAGGAAAACAGGCAAGAGAAATGATGCTAGAGTCAGTTCAGGGGCACCACACTGAGACGGGCAGCAAAGGGGTTGAACAGCATCTCCCACCAGCTTCCTCCCAAAATCAGATCCTGTGACAAGAGCTGAGGTTGCTGCCATGTCACAGCACGTGACAAACCACCCTTAAGTGCAAAACTTTGTAAAGGAGCTGGTAAGCAGAGACAGAAACTCCAGCCTGGGAGGGATTAGGCCAGCCAGGATTGATTTGGGTTAGAAAGACGTAACAGAGTGCAACTCTCAAAGCCATTTGACAGTTTGACCCAGAGAGGGTCAAAACTAAATCTCAGCCTAAAACCTTTTAAAGCTCTGTACTGACGTGAGAGCCAAGACTTTGGCAGATAGGAACTGGAATGACAGCACCTACGACTCATCAGAGGCCGGGAAGGAAAATGTTCACGGGAGTAGGAAGTGACCAGAGGAGAAAGGACCAAGCACCAGTGATGGTGAGCACCCACAGCAAGCAGCTGTGAGAAGCTTGAAGGTGTGGATAATGCTGCTTGCAAAGTACTTACCTGAAAGGGAGCTAGGAACATTAATTCAGTGTTTGAAACTGAGTTGAGGAAGTAATGCTCTAAGTGCTAACAAATACTAGAACTGCAGACATGGGGAAGAGATCTTGCCCCTCAGAGCTTCACAAACTTTCAGTTCATTTCTGTGGAAACTCAACTCATCTCCTACAGTGTTTTGTTCTGAATCTGCCTGCACAGCACTTGACTTTAGATTGCAAAAGTTTCCAGCGATCTTTCAGCCAACTGAGGGATTGAGATCTTTGTTCAGGAGGAGACGAGGCCTTCATAAAGATAGAGAGCTTGCACCCATGCTTCAGACCCAATTCCTGCAGCAAGCAGCCCTTGGTTTTCTGGAAGGTACCTTGGAGAAGAGGATCTAGTAATTGCATGTGACAGGTATCTTCAGATGCAAGGAAGGGGAAAGGACAGCAACGTATTTTGGAAGGAACAGTAATTAATTTCGAATGTATCCTGGTTGAGCCATTTTGTACTGTTTTTAATGACTGGAACTGTCAACCATAGCTCAACTCTTCCTTGAACGTTCTACAACTAATGGATTGGAGCTTTTCCCCTTTTTTTTCCCCATCAAGCTCAATCCCACAAGGCCCTTTCAGAAGACACAACTGCGCATGTGATTGTCCACACCCAGACACGTGCTATCCCTGTGTTGTTTGCCACTTCTGTCTGGGATTGACAGCTTCACAGGAAACCCATTAAAAACAATTTCCAAAAAAATCCCCCTCCAAAAATCTTCCCCATGTATTGTAACTAATAGACTGTGATATTTTCATTTTACCTGTGAAGCTACTGCTCATTTCAGGTACATCGTCCTCCTCCTCATTCTCTGTATGCACTATGCCAGCATTTTGCATATCATTGTAAGACTTGGTTCGCTTTGGAGTTGATTGCTTGGAGCCAGACTGCAGGTTTTGCAACGCATCGGTGGAAGTCACTTTCCCACTGAGGGGCTGGCTGGGAGGCTTGGGCGTTCCATAATAGTTACCTAGGCAATAGAAACACATTTGCATTTTCAAAAGAGAGCAATTTATAGCAGCAAGATTTCTATTTTATTTTATTTTCAGTTCCATTAAAATCTCTATCTCTCCCCCCAAGGAAGTAAGTAAGAAAATAAACTAACACACGGCATTCCCTTTTGGGCGGGTGGAGGGGCATATTTCATCTCTAGAGCAGCCATGGAAATTTTTTTGCCTTTTAATTTATTCTTGTTGAATCTAAAAGGAGAAGCAATGGTCGCATTGTTTAGGTGCACTCAGCGTACAAGGGCTAAAACAAAAGGCACTCATGGTGAATAGCAAACCTCGATCTTGTTACGTCTGAATTTCAATTAGTCGCCTTTTTACATGTGTGCACCCACACAATGCTGTGGCAGATCTGGAGTGAGCCCTGCAGAAAATAAAAAATTCATGACTGCCATCACCCAGATAAGTGATGAAAGGCTCAATGGCCTGCTTTAATACACATGTTCTTGTAGGATGGATGTTGCGTTTAAAAAGCAAAAACTATTCTCTCTCTGAAAGAAAACTGTCAAAGGGGAGGAAAGGAAAGGTACCACGTGGAACTGCTTGCTTCAAAGAGGAAACTCAGCAGTTGGGTCATCTAGGGTAGAAGTGAACAGCCAGACCTTACAGCAAAACTTCAAGGGATAAAGATGCACCCACAGTTCTGCAAACGCACAGCTCTTAGCAGCCATCACCAGGTGTGACACAAACAGTGCAAAGCACTTGGGACACTTCGCTGTCATTGTAAGTGACCATGGAAGAAATACAGAAGAAGCACAGGTTCATTGATGCCAGAACTGCACACAGGTATTTCACTGTTCCTGTTTCACTTCAACACCACAGTAGTGCTTCACTTGCCCTGAAACGCTCCACAGGAATCTCAGATCTGCAATCGGTTCCCGCAGTACTGGGACTTCAGGAATTCAGACCTATTGCTTGGTGCATCTTTTACTTTTTATACAGTGACACTCCCCAAATTTTCCCTTTTAAGAATTATTATTAGTTTTCATTTGCCACCTTCAGATTCCAAGGGTGAACTTGAAAATTCTCCCTATACTCTCCGGCACGACAAAATATAAAGGATGCCCTCCCATATAGCTTTGCACAAACCCATGTGTGGGTGCACGCATATAGCTTCAACCGTGGCAGCAGCACAAAACTCTTCTCTAAACTATGTATGAAATAAACACATTTGATAATGTTCTTCATCTATCTCCATAGGCTGTGTATAACCTGAAAGCATTTTCCAATTTTTCCGTGCATAGTTACATTATCTATTTACTATCCATTCCCCAGAAAGTGCACACACCCCTTTATTACCCATGTTACTGTAAATGGAAAGCACATGCCAAAGGTAGGTTGTGCAAAGGTACTTTAAAACATCGTCTGTGCTAAAAAAGATACTTTCCTTCACTTATTTTTATACGTATGCATGTGTATTTTTGTTGAAGAAGCCAACGACATCATTCATACACGGAGGTACAACATGGAGTTTAAAGTGAGCCAAGCAGCTCTGCATGGACCTCCCCCACTGCTGTATGCAGTAGTTCCACTCATCCAAGGCATTTCACACTGCTCAGCCATCACACATTTGAGGTTCAAAGTGACATATCCTTATTTCAGTTTAGAAGTACCAGCTGTCTGAAATTGCCTTTCCCATTAGAGCATCTAAGTCCCTTACAACCCCAAAGCTGTGCCTGTTGTCAGCTCTAGCGTAAGGCTGCAGGCATCATCCATGTCCCAACACTCACAGATCTCAACTTGTGCCTCTGTAAGGTCTCTGGACACATCAGAAGCAAAGGAGACCAGGAATCACCCTGGCTCAGGCTGGGGAAGACAACTTTGGATACACTTTGCTGTCTTTCTCCCTCACTGCCTTCCAAGAGGAGAAAAAGTCTTTCTTACAGAGCTGAGGCTGGAGAAGTCTGAGGAGCTCCTACCTCCATGCTTTCAGAGCCGGAGTACTAGGACAGCAACACGTGCAGGTTTGTCTGAACAAGGTGTGTTTGAGCCTGTATACAACGTCGTGGATTCAGCTCCACAGAAGCAGCAACACTCTGCAATGCTTTCATCTTCTGTTCATCATTTCAGAATCTTAAATGTACATCGATGCATAATTTATAGGGAGAAGGAAATTACTTCTTCTGGAAAGAGCCTCTAATGGAGATGGAGGCTCCTCAAGCAGGTTGCAGTCTCTGCTAGACAAATGATTCTTATGCTCTACATACTGCAAGATTATTTCATACAAAAAGAGGAGGAATGGGGGACAGGGAGTGTGAAGGGAAAATGCAGAGGTAGGCGGGCAGAAAAATGGTAATCAACCCTGCTCCCATGCTATCCTCTTCGGCATTTCTCCAGAAGAACACTGCTAGTTTAGTGGGTTTTTTTGAGAGGGGTGGGGAGTGGCGGTTGTTGTTTTTTACAGATAAAACATGTGTTCCAAATGTGTGCCATATACGTGAGAACAGCTTTTACTTATGGCACTGCACATCACTATTCTGCGCAAAATTTATTTCAGGTCTGTTGTAAACGGTTAAATCTTTTTGTGATGGATGGAAAAAATGGAAGTGCATATATAGATGCTGCTAGTGTGGATTTTAATTTCTCCTGGACAAGAACTTAGCACAGATGTTACCACCCTTCCTCCAATTACAGAGAAATATATGATTATATCTTTGAGGTTTGTTCCTTTCCAGTTCCTCTAGCAACAAGCAAGGCTGGAGCTCCTAACAGTCCACAGAGAGCTGTTCCTCAGGCAGAAAACAGGCTTCTCGAAAGTATTTCAGATTCGCTTACACCAAAATCACTAGTCACTTTTCAAACAAGACACGGCTGTTGGTACTACTATTAGTGAATAATTATTTTCTGCCAACACACTGTGCTATCTTAGAGGATCCCTACAAGGATATACGAAGAGATACAAAGAGCAAATATGAATCTGCAACTGAGCATGGCTCTGCATGTGTGGGTTTTGTTTTGCAGAATACGGGAAACACAGCCATTGGGGCTGAAGATTTTCCTCCACAGGAGTGAGATTCAACCTGTGTCAATATTCCAGAAAATCACAGCTCTTTCTTCAGATTCACGCAAGGGCATACAGCTTCAGGAAACAACCCAGCTCGTGATGATAAACTGCAAAAGAAAGCTTCAACCCAGCTTCCAAGTGACTTGGAGAATGAGAGAAAAAGGAAATACTCTCTTTTCCTCATGTGTGGTGGATGCAGTCAGACCTATTTATCTTCTCTAAGCAGTTCTTTTTGAAGACATGGCACGTGGGCCTGAGTGTGGGGGCAGACACACCATTAGGAGGGACTGGCACTTAAAATTATCACTGAAACTCGTGTTTAGGCCTAGAAATTAGAAAGAGAAAATATTTACCCTGTGACTCAGAAATCCAAACGTGCACCATTAACAACTGACAGTGAACAGCCCAGCAAGAGTTTTAAACCTCTCAGACTCGACATTATTTGTTCAAATTAAATCTGTCAATGTTTATGAAAAAACATACATTTAAAAATATGCTTTAACAGTGTTTTGTGAGCCACTTGTAAGACTAAAGAAGGGGCTAACTTCATAGCCAGTGTAATTTGCACTGAATATCCAATCAGCTCTAATTATTAACAGCATGTTACATGCGCATACAGAAGCATCTGTCATCCCAGAGGATCCCAAAACATTTTCTGAAGCCAGCACAGTGGTTACAGCAGGACTGCCCGGGGCGCTCAGCTCCCCCCACGGCTCAGGTGATGCTCTGCAAAACTCGAGGACGGTGTCCCTAACGCCACGTCTCAAAGCTGGAAAAGAGCGGCCTGTCTCCCAGACGAAGGAGATTTGTTGATGAAGCCAGCAGGAAAACCTCTACTTTTCTGTGGAAAGGCCCGTTCTGAAGCAGCCAGCGTGGCAGAAACGTCAAGTTTTTCCCATGTCTGATTCCGGTGGGAACCGGGTCCCTAACCTTTACCCTCTTCTCAGTCATGTTTGGATCCTGCCTCCAGCAACAAAGTTAACAGCTAATAACAATGCTTTCACTCAGCAGATGCACATAGCATTAACTGAATTCCTTGTCATCACCTTTCACTAACCCTTATTTTATTCAGTCCCTTGGTGCTTAAACCTTATTCAACCACAGCCGAAGTTTGACGGTAGCTTGTGCAGCCAAAACCATAACTTAATCCATGCACTCCAAAGCGCCACTTAGGAGAGTGTGCAAAAATAACAATAATAATGAAAAAAAACAGAATAGCTATTTGGAATTAGTTGATTTCTTTTCATCTCCTTATCTCTAAGTGTCAGCATCTTACACATTCTAGCATCACGCACAGTAATTAGACTTTGGTAACAGCTAATCACAACAATAAAACAAATTCTCAGAATCATAACACTTCTTCCTCTGCCAATTCAAGCAGGGATCATAATAAATGAAAGCAATCTACAGCAGCTTCTACACTGTCCCGCAGCTTACGAATTCAAGCAACGCTGTCAGCCAAGAGAAATTTTTTACATTTTAGAGACCCAGAGGTAATGGAAACCTTTTCTTATATTTCAAAATAACAAAACATTCTTACTAAATATTCCCCTAATGGGCAGTAAATTCACAGACAACCTTAACTTTTTTTTATGTGACCTGGAATTTGGAACGTCATTTACAAAAATACACCAATTAGATACCCTTAAGTAAAACAACTCTGAATCTAATCCATAAAATCTTTTGTCAGTCACCACTCAATTCAATTTGAGTGGAGTCCATCCAAGATGTTGTTTCTGGAACGGGTAGAAATGCACAAGAACAGAGAGACAATCTAAAAGGGTCTAAAGTGGAATGGATATGAAAGTAGGTGTAAGAATGCGGTCCCAAACCATCCCTCTTCAAGGGCTGTTGTACCATTTCAGTTACTTTAATCTGTAGGTGTTGGCTCTGCAGTAGCTATTCTCTTTTCTGGGGGAGGAGAATTTGTCCTGCTTTTCTCGTGCAAAGAGATTTAGG